ACTATTTAAAAATATATTAATACTATAAAGAAAAGTAAGAAAACTTACGTTAGGGGAAAAAGAAAAATAATTAAAAAAGGCAATAAGGAGGAAGTAAATAGTAAAATAGTATATAAAAATAGTAGAAACTATAAGGAAGAGAAAATACCTCAATATTATAGAAGTACGAATATAATTTAATAAAACTACACTATAGTATTATATATAGCCTAATATAAACGAAAATCCTACACTATACTACCTATTAAAAGTAATAAATTCCCTACTAATATAGGCGAGAATTGGGAAGATAGGCCTATAAACGTTCCTCTTCGAAAAAAAAATACCGGAAATAACAATACTATATTACTAATACAATATAAGGAAAGAAACGTTCGAATATTTAATATTAGAATACCAGGAAATAGAATAAACTTAACTTTAAAGCGAAAATATATTTATATAATTAATAAATAAAGAGGAATTCTATAATGAATTTAAAACGAATATAGAACGGATCCTAAAATAGGCCCTACAATTAAGGAAACTATAAGAATATAAATTAATAATTAAAATTAAAAAGGCAAAGGAAATAAAAAAAATACTTAAGGATATAAACTAATATATTTAATTATATATATAAAAGACCCGGCTAAAGCTAGTAGCTATTAAATTAGAATAGAATTATATTAGAACCGATAAGAAATTAATTAAATATATATTAAATATATTGAAGGCAGCCTTAAAAGAAAATTAAACTATAATTAAATTAGGAAAATCGGAGAATTAATTACTTTATATCACTACTATCTAATATTATATTAGTATCGCTATAAACCTCAACCTCCTCAAAATTATAATTATCCTCCAAATTAGAACCTCTATTATTATCCTTATTAAAATCTTCGGTAATAATACTAATAAGTACCGTCTTTATATTATAATAGGGCCGGATAGAAGCCGAATTATTAATCGAACCTATAATTAAAATACAATTATAAATATTATAGATAATTTACTTAATATTAGTAAATTATATAAAGGAGGTTAGTAGAGGTACTAATATAGGAATAATATAGGGTATTTACAATAGAAAAGTAAATATCAAAGCTATTTTACTTAGTACGGACCGCTATTATTCCTTTACTAATGCGTATAATATTAATAATAGCTATATTAACTTTATTAGAAAGAAGGCGGATAGATTCCTCGATTTTCGTAATATAGAGATAAATTATAATAATATTATTACAAAGTATAATAAAATTTATAAAAATATCGATAGTAGTATAAGTAAACTTTCTCTTCTTAATAAGAAATTTAATTACAATTATTAAATTAAAAGCCGGGAAGTTACCAATAGAGGAGGGTTTAATACTAATATAATCTACTACAACCTATACAGCAGCTATAGCCTCTACCTTACCGATAAAAACCTTAAAATCGCCCTTAATAATATCGTAACTATATAGAACTATAATGGTTTTAATAAAAGTATGTACTAGAAGAGTAAATTTAACGTTCGGGTACTCCTTAGTCCTCTTCTACGATTAATACTTATAATAAGAAATAAAAGGATAAATTACTTTGCGAATTAAAAATAAAAATACTATAGTAATAGTATAGATACTTATAGGGATCCTAGAGATACTAAACTTAATTAAAAATAATTCTAAAAACAGCTATATCCTAATAAATTAAAAGGAGGGTGTACTAGAGCCTATAGGTACAAGCTTTATATTATTTATAATTCGTAGGAGTCTGGAAATACCCTATAATAACGCCTTTCTTCTCTAATATCTCCTTTAATAAATACTTCCGAATTTTCTTAAGGGTAATAGGTTTAATAAGAATATTATTATATAGCGAATTAACAGGGTTAATATTAGGAGGTACTATATCCGAAGTAGTATTACCCTTTAAATTATTAGGGGAAGTTGTAGCCTTTATAACCTTAATTACTATTAAAATAAGTATTTTCTTAATAACGTTATTAGATTTCTTATATAGTATTATAAAGTAGTAATAATATTAATTCGGGTTAAATACGGGCGAATAGTAGCGGTAGATTTAATTAAAATACGGATACAATATAGTAAAGGCGGTAATATAGTATAAAGAAGAAATAAAGGAAAGAAAGAGAGAGCCGGGTCGAAATTTCCTTTATAGAAATATTTAGGCGGCTTAGGATAATATAATTGAAGAAAGATGGGATGAAAGACCGCTAACCGTAGAGAAATTACGGTAGAAAAACGAAGGAAGGACGGCTATAGGCCGAAGCCGGGTCGGTTACGTATATAATACAAATTTATAGCCTCGGTTATAATAGTAAGGTTATACCGAGAGGAAGGAAATTAGGAAGGTACGGAGCTAATATAACGTTATTACAATAGCGAAGCGGAGGGTTTTTACCCGGCTATTACAGTACGGTTTTTCCTATTAATTACGAGCGAAGCAGCACCGCGTGCCCATTGGGCGGACTATGTATATAGTTAGCGTGTATAAGACTAATAATAATAATAATAATTAACTTCTTTATTTTAGAATTAATTTAAATAATATTATTATTATTATTATTATTATTATCTTATTACGCTAACTAGTTATACTAGTCTACCCAATGGGTATACGGTACTGCTTCGTTCGTAATCTAAGGGAAAAACCGTATTATTGAAATCCGGATAAAAACCCTCAGCTTCTCTATATCTAACCCTAACCCTAACCCGAACCCTTCGTCCCACCTTACCGTAGGGGGCCCGGGGAGCCTTAGCTACTTCAATTTATCTTCTTTCGGTATATCTCTTTCAATCCCGGGGACTTTTCGTCGCTTCTAATTAATCCTTTAAACCCCATTTCCCTACCCAACACTTCGGTAGCATTCTTCGTTCCGGAAATAAGTATTCTTCTTTTATCCTATCTTTAGGGTAGGGGTAGAGAAGTAGGGTTTTACTTTTCTTAATCGGAATTTTCAATATTTTTCTTATTAGGATTAGTAAAATAATATAATTAATTAATTATCGTATTACCGGACGGGTTCCATCCGAGCGGAACCGTAGCTCTAAAATAAATTTTAGAAGTAGGGTTCCAATTCCTAAACCCTATTGGCAGAGCGGAGCGGGGGAGGCCGGCGCGTCTTCGATTGGGATGAGATTTTTAACACGTGCCCAGTCACGTGCACCTAGGGTTTTGGACCAGGGTAGACCCCCACATTTAATTTCGCTGTAAATACTCTTCTTCTTAAGAGCGCTCAGTGGAGCGACAGCGGGGAAGATCTTTCATCCGATCCGGCCGAAAAACCGGATGAAAGAGGGGGGGGAGCGGGATTCGAACCCACGGCCTTTCGGATGAAACCGAAAGGGGGGCCAAGCTCAGATCTTCCCAACTGAGCTATCCCTCCTTTAAATAATATTAAATAGTATTAAATTTATAATTTACTATTAATTTTAATACCTCTAATAATCCTACTATCTTTAATCCCTTTATTAATAATAAACAAAGTTCCGAAACTACCTTAATATTATTATTAGAAAATAATTAAATTTATATTAACCGGCGGCCCGCCCTCTTAGAAATTATAGAATATTTTAATAATACCCCCCGGCAATAAATCCTTAAAAATTTACCCCTTTAATAAATCTAGTAACCTAAACCTTAATAATTAGTATAACCTCAATAATTATAACCCGTAGCATTTTAATATTTAAATCCCTATTAATTTCCTAATAGCGAGTATATTAATATTTCCACTTAAGAATTATTAGACTTTAAATGGTAATAATAATGATAATAAGGGGAATTCGGACTTTATATAATTATATATTGAAAATTCGAGGCTAAATAGTAGTAATAAATATAATAACCTCCTCAATTACAAATTTAACAATTTTAATATTAATAGACAATCCAACCCTAACTAATTTAGAAAATTGGTCTAAATTTATAATAGCCTATTAATTATTTAGTTTAATTTTTATAACTTCCTTAGGTTAATATTCAATTTATTATTATTAATACTTCCTACTTTAAAATATATACTCTCCAATACTAATCTATTAAATTTAAAGCTAGTTTTACTTAATAGGATATTTAATATAAAATAGGTAAGCTATATTTATAAATATATCTTCTATTCTTAATTTACTTTCTTATTTACTAATATATACCCTTCTTTAATAAAATAATAAAGAGATTACTCGAACCCGCCGAAATAGAAACCGGATTTAATATAATTATTACCTTTGTAAGCGTAATTGAGAATAAAATATTATACCTACTCCCTTATCAGCTACCTTAATTGCCTAGTAATATTCTAATTTAGAATCGGGTACCAACGAGCTAGATCCTATTCGATTTATATTTTACTATTATCATTTTATACTCCCTATTGCTAACTACAACCCTACTATAAGATTTTATTAATTTTATAATAGCGATAACTAATTTACTTACCTAATTTATTATATTATTCAACTAATTATAAACCGGAACCTAATTATAGGTAATTATATTATATATAATAAAAATATAGTTCCCATGGGCGGAGCCAATGTCTAGGGGAGATAGAGAGACGCCCCGAGAAGTTATTTGATATATAATTTGAAAAAAAAAAAAACTCAAAGCTGAACTGAACAGATAACCTTCTTAAAAAGTAACACTAATAATAACCATTAAGCTATAAAGCACAAATAGTTTCTTAAATAAGTAGATGGATTTTCTTCTTAATATTACTAACCCTAAGAAGGAAAAAAGAAAAAAAAAAAAAAACTCAAGGGCAAAATTCTGAATTTTTTTTTTATTTTTTTCTCTTTACTTAAATTTTCGATTTTCGACCCTAACCCTAACCCCCCTGGATTTCCAGGGTTGGGACTTGGTCATTTCTGGGACTTAGTTATTTTTAGGACTTCACGGTTGCAACTAAAATCTTCATTTTCAATTTCTTTTACTCTATTCTCAATAACCATCGCGTACACTACAATGCGACTGGTACCAAAATAACCGCCTTTTCTTTCTCGTTATCCTAATACTATATATATTTCGATATACGTAATAATAGAAGAGGAATCTCCGTTGCAAAGGAAAAAGTGGCTTTTTCGTTCTACTATTCAAACCGTATCTTGTTTGGCGCCAAATTTTCCTATTTGGGACTGCCAAAACGGGTAATTTTCTACATTCTAGCCTATTGTAGACAGATACGCCGCGCCTTCCTCGCTTGCGGCGTTGGAGTAGGCCCATAGACCACAACCTTTGGTATAAATCTTCTATATTACCTTTTGGGCCCACGACAACGGCCGGGCAAGCTCTGAAAGTATGGGCGTCTCAATAATCAACGATTTATCTATCCTAATTATTGCTTCTCTTAATATATTAACGAATACAATCCTAGTACTAGTAATTATATACTTTATTAATTATCTATACGATATAACCTTAATTCTTAGTATAAAATCTATTTTCTTTACAATAGTATAGCCGACCGGCTGGATTATATAACTTATAATTTTCTAGAATGGGACTACTATTTATTATACTTAGGAAGAACTAGGGATCAAAATCGCCTAATTACTCTTAATCCCTTAATGTAATTTACTAATAATAATAATATTAATACTTAATTTAATAAAGAAATACCCTACTTCTTTTATCCGGTATATAAATTAGTACGGCGCCCTACTAATAAGGATCCTATTACTAGATTTTATATAGTATATGTATATGTTAGTCCCTATTATAATATTTGAGAAGAAAATAAAATCTATTTCGGTTATTATTAAAACTTTCCCTGCTATTATTCTTTTAATAAATACAATATTAAACGTAATTATTATTAATACTATTAAGTACTACTTGATAAAGACTAAGAGGAGAACGACGAGAAATATTATAATTCCTATCGTTTTGTTAATAATTAGGATAATAATAACCTATTCTAAATTAAACCCTACTTATAAATATGGAATATCAACCCTCTTAATAATCCTGATAATATATTTAATCTTAACGATTTTATTCAAAACTATAGCCTTCTAGAAACTTAGTCTTAATCCTAATTTTAGCCTTCCCAATTACGAAGGAGAGGTTAGCGTAGTCCCGGACGCCCCTAACTACCCTTAGGCTTATAGCAACCAACCGGGCCTCAATTCCCGGGCTTACCTAGTATCGAATTTGAATAGGACCTAGTCTTTACAAATAACTTAAATATACGAGCAATCCCAGACTCCTATTATAAATAGCTTCGCAATTACTAGGCAATACTAAATATAGAGACTATAGAATATTATAATTGCTATGAAAAGAAATAGTTTTAATTGAGGGTTATAACTGTTAATAACTAAAATATCTATAATTAATATATCTATACTAATACAAACTTGCGCCCAGGTAAACCTTTTAAGTACAACGCGGCTAATAATATAAATTTTAATACTTTTAACCCCAATAATATTGGAGGTAAATACTATCTCTTCCCTTTTGACCCTATAGAAAAAATACTTATTATACAAATCTATATTTATATTAATATTTATACCTTTAGCCAACAACAACGAAAATACAAAAGTTATTGTATTAATTTTCTTTATAATATTTCCTATATCTATATTCAATTATTTAGACTACTAGAAGAAATTAATATTATTTTATTATAATTACAGAACTACCGGAATTATCCACATTTTAATCGAATGCAAAAGGAATTCAAAATTAATCGCTAAAAAAACGCTATCTAGCTCAACTTCTTAAAAACCTATTACCCTAGATACTAAAATATCGAAATTATAGAAGAACATTTTAATATATTACTAGAAGATAGTAATATTATAAATAATATAGTTCGTATTAATATAAATAATATTATTATCGAGAAATTTGATAAATCACAAAAGTAAAGACTTAAAGAGATTCTAACCGAGGCTAAATTTAAAATCGGCGCAACGCCTAATATTATCGGTAATATACTTGAGGATATTAACCAACTCAAAGTGTAATTTCGTAGGGACCCTATACCCAACCCGAACTTTCCCCTAATTCAATTTAGAAATATACCGGACAAGTAATAACCTCCAAATTAAATACTATAACCTATAAGTTAAGAAGGATAGCCTATAGGTCAATAATTACAATTTATAGGTCCGGCTTTGATTTAAGCCCTAATTTAGGATCTAGCCCCCGGCGATACCCTAGCCCCCGGCAATGCTCTAGCCCCCAACCGGCTATCCCAACATTGCTATTATATTTAACAAGGTCCCTTTCGTAGTTAACCTATTAATAAATTTAAATACAACTAAATACTACCATTTTAGGCATTCCCTTCTCTTTACCCCTATAGGCAAAAAGAATATCTCAACCCCCGTATAAGGAAGGTAAATTATAATAAATATATTCGATATACTATATAGTAGTATAATAACTATTTTACCTAGTATAAAAAATTCTAATATATTACTTTTAATTCTTTGATACATAATTAAATCCACAATAAAAACTTATTCTATATCTGTACTATATAATTTAATCCAAAGTTTTTTACTAATACTAACTAATTTAAAGAATAATTTAGAAACCGCTCTAATAAAGTAAGAAAATTACTTAATTCTATTATTCGATTTTTTAATATTCTTCGTAACACTCGGTTATACTAAATTAAGAAATCTCGTAGATTATCGTTATATATTAATTTCTTAGAGATACTAATCATATTTATAACATTCAACACGGCCAATCTTTATTAGGAAAGCCTAGTAAAATATATCCCCAATCATAACCTTTAATTAACTTCTAATAATAATAATAAATATGATATCTCGAAGTAGAATATTCTTTAAAACCCTTATATTGCTATATACTACTTTCTTCGAAGGTTTGAGCTTTTTAAGGAGTATATCCTAATTCTAAAGTTCAAGTTCGATAACTATTAGTAGTAGTTGGAATTTCAAATTCGAGGAATTGGCTATACCCATAGTGTATATTAGGTAAATAATATTAATATACCTAACTTATCTAATCTAAAAATCCGCTGGCAATTCGTTAAAATGTAAGGTCTATATTTTACCGTATAAAATCCAATACTTAAAGGTATTGAATAGTTTAAAGCCCAATTTAGTAAGGGTGAAGATCCGGAAAGTCTACCTCCTAATATTATTAGTAATTAATATAATGCCCTATTAACCAGCTTCTAGCTAATTATAATGAACGTAGCGATATCTTAAATGAAAGGATAAGCGCAATAGAACCTATATTTCAAGAGGTTTTGAACATAATTAACTGTATATGAAAACATATTTATAATAATATTTATTTTTTTCGAACCCGCTGTCAAATCCGAACCCTTCCCGGAGACCGGCAAATCCTAGACCTCGAATTCCCGATTCCCGAATAAAAGGTATACCGTTTTTACTTTACTAGGAAACTCTATAAACATTTTTTATTTACTACCCGTATTAATCCTAGTTTCTAGTTTTTCGACGGCCGAAGAAATAATAGTATTCTTAACTAATATAATCCACTTATTACCCTAAGTTAAATAACCAACACAGATATTCAACTATAGACCAGTATAAATACTATATTTAATTACGTAGCCAAGTACGTTTTAAAGGCCGAGAAGAAAATACGGTCTTACAACGATATTACCACCGAATTGATACCCCAAATTACGGCCAGAAACCCAATTAAGCAATTTATAGTAAAATTTATAAATAAACTTATTATTAAACGGGACTAATCTATTTAAAAAGTCTATTATCTACTATTCAACCTTCCTTTATCAGAAAGCACATGTATAGTAATTATAATAGATTATCGCTATCGAAATAACTAAAGTACTATTATCCCCGATCCTGAAGTAAATATATAGCTTAATTTTAGAAGAGCCGTATTAGGAGCTACTAATAGTAATAATAATAATAATAATAATAATAATAATACTAATAATAATAATAATCATATTGAGGGTATTTATATTAATATTGCTAACGAAATTCGTCAAAGCTATTCAATTTACCAAAAGTATATAAATTGACAGGAACGCTACTCTTAAATCTTATACTTCGAATTTATCACTACCTTTAATTATATAAAATTAAAACCCAAACCTTTATTTAACCATACTAAAAAGAAGGTTATTAATTATTTTTCTATATATAAGCAGGATAATGAATACAACCGTTAAAATTTCAAGAGAATTAAACTCATATTGCACCACCCTTACTGAAAGCCTAATAATCTTTACGTTGTTAATAATATCCGATATAATAACTTCGATAACGCTTATACAGTATGCCTTGAAACCTACATTAACGAACTCCAATACCCCGAAGACCACTACAATAAATTTCCGGATCCTAAACCAAAAGAAGAATTTAAACCCCCTAATTAAAAAGAAAAAGCGGATAAGCCTAATTAGAAAAATATTATAAAGGAAAACCCTAACCGTTATATCGACCCCGATAATAATAATTTTGAAGGCGAGGTTTTAGGCTGCTATAATATCGATATTAATTATAATTAGTATAAACACTATACTTAGTTCCAGGAATTCCTTCTACTAGCAGGAGAATTCTAAAAATCTCACCGCAATACCTTTAACCTTCCTAATCTAAAGCCTATTATTTAATGCTTATATAATACTCTTAATACTAAGTAATGTATAGTATTTAATTAATTTATTAACTATTACTATGCCATTTTAAATAGAGATAGTCCTAAATAATTACTTATTCAAATCGACGGCTATAGTAGTACTAGGAAATACCACCTTATTCGACTACTATTTTACAAATTTACTAAAACAGTTTTTATATATAACCTTCCAACCTTTATTATTCGTACTACTCCTACTAGCGTTGCAGTTAACAATATTAATAGCTATACTATCTATTCCCTTTTATAATTTCCTTTTAGTAATAGAGGATTAGCTAACTTACAAGGTACTAATCTTACCTATATATAGAATAAACTCAGACTGTACAAGTATTTCATCATTAATAAAAAATCTATATTAGATATAAGAATTATATATCATATTAACGCCCGTCTACCCAACGAAGCACCTAATTACGCTTAGAAAATTACTCGAATAGTACTATTATATAAGCTTAATTCGTAGTAACCTTATAACGCTATTAAGCTTAATCCTTATTTAGGGTAGGGTAGTTAGGAGTATTAACAATTATTAAACAATTAAAAGTAGGATTACTATTGCTAATACCGGAGACTATATAAATAAGAATAATAGTAATATTACTACAGGATATAATACGTATAAGAATAATGATATTACTATTAAAACCGGAAACAATTTAAACCGGGTTTATAGTACTACTATTATGGAGGAAGGGGGTATAATTATAATAAATATCTCTTACAATTAACTTATAATAATTCTTCCGCTCAAAATTAACGATATTAGAATATAAGGGGCGGGGAAGAATATAAATATTAGTAAGTAGGTTGTTATATTCTAAATATATATATATATAATTAGTAAAATTATCAATAATACGAACGAAGGATTCTGATTCTAATTAAACCCAAGCTAGCCATTTAATAGTATAATAATAGCTACTATTTAAATAGTATTACGGGTATTATAAAGGCCGGCGGGGATGTCCAATATATATATACTAATAGTATAAATATAGGTTGCATTCTAAGAACCGGCAATTATAATACGGGAGTTAGATAATAATAAGAAAAGGAATAGGAGAATAAAGAACCTATTAAATACTAAAATATAGTAAATTTTACTAATAATTGTTATACGGAAGGCGTTGGGGGAGGTAGGCCTATCGCCGGTCTTCGGGAAGGTAACTAAACTTAAAGTATAGTATAAGTAAGGAACTTGACGAATACTATTAATTGGGTTAATATATAAATTGGAAGGACGGAGGAGGAAATTATACCGGTTCTAAGAAATTATAAAATTAAGAAGACTATAGAGAAAGCGGGCGAGGGCCGTAGGCTTTAAATATATTAGGAATATAAGGTTAAGGAATAATTTAAGGGAAGAGACTTTTACGTTAGAAGTTATATTGATTGGGTTAGGGTAATAATAGTTAAAGGAATTTATTTTAAGTAAAATTATGATAGGAAAAAAGAGGATAGGAATTAAGAAAGGGTATTATAAGGAGGATTATAAAGAAGAAGGAAAAGGTCTTTATATTATTATAAATAGAAGTAGAATTATAAGGTAGGAAATAAAAGACCGGGATAGAAGTAATTGTAAATAAGATAAAGAAGTAAGGAAGTAGAGTAATGGATAGGAAAATAGGATAGGGAAGTAAGGAGAGGGTAGAAGAAGGAGCGGTAAATATTAGGATAGAAGGACGGTGAAGGGAGGCGGCGCTCTAAATTTGGATCCTATTTCTATTTTTCTTATTATTCTAATATTGGAATAACGTAGTAGTAGGAGAGACGAAATCAATTCGCTATAATAGTAGGTAAGAACCATTATAGCTATAAGTAAAGTAAGAGTAGCGTAAGATCTATAACTAAAATAACTAAAATATAATTAGGGGTTTTTATCCGGCGGCGCTTAACGCCGTACGGTTTTCCCCTCCAGGGAATTAGAGAAGGACCCCACGCCAATAAGGCACTATAGTTATATAGTATAGGGAACAAGATTATTATTATTCTCTCCCTTTAATTTCCTCTATTCCTCTTATAATTCCTCCCCTCTATTTTCTACTACCTATTCTTCTTCTACTTCGCTTATATTTTACTACTATTCTCTTTCCTCTACCGCTACTCTTTAACCTTCCTTCTTAATTATCATTATTTACTTTACTAATACCTTTAATATTCAACCTCCCTTTATCGCCCAACTTTTCTCTTTACCCTCTTTAAGAATTCTAATTAATAAATATTCGCCCCCTCTCTTCAATTCTTCCCCTTGCAACTATAACTTCCTTAATAACCTATCTGCTAAACTCAATTTTCCAGGCCAATATTCTATTCCGAAATTATATATTGCTAATTCCAATACCCACCGGTTTTACCTTATATTAGCCCGCTCCTAATCCTAAAAATATTATAAATTTAAATAGTTTGTAATTATTAAAAATAATTTATTTATATATAATAAATATTACCTCCATACTTTTATGGCCCTGATAATTGTTAATGATTCCCCGTCCTTAACTCCATACTTTATTTCTTCTAGCGACTTTTTCTTCGAAAGAATATTACTAAGTACTATTTATTACTATATAATTATATAAGACCTACTCTATTTATAAAATTTGATACATTTATTTCTACTTAAATTTATAACGCTAGGTCGAAATATTATAATATAAACACTTTTTAAAATAACCTTTTTAATTTTATAAATACTTTGTCCGCTTTTATTATAAATTCGAACAACCTCTATTTATCCCTCTTCAATAATTCGGTTAAGGGCGCGGTTAGTTTCGAATATAATGTTATAAAGCGTTAACAGAACCCTATAAACTTTAAGAAAATTTAGATATCATAAATACTTTTAAGGGCTTCCTAATCTGCAATTATTATAACCCTCTCTAAATCTATTGAAATACCCTCCGGAGAAATAATATATTTTAAAAATAATACCCTCTTCGTATAAAATTCACATTTACCTAAATTTATATCAAAGTCCTAGTCTTATAAATATTAAAGGACTTCCTTAATATAATTGGTATAATCTTCTTTATTCTTACTATAAATTAGAATATTATTAAAATAAGCGATATATATTGTATTTATTAACCCTACTAATATCTTATTAATATACGTTTAAAATATTACCGGCGTATTCACTAACCCCATTAGCATAATCAAAAATTCGTAATACCCGTACTTCGTACAAAAAACTGTCTTTTTCTCATTTCCTGCCCAAATTCGAATCCTATAATATACGTTTTTCAAATCCAATTTTATAAAAACTTTAATTAATTAATAACCAATCTAAAACCTTTTAAATAAAAAGTAATACTATCCGATTCTCCTTCGTTACTTTATTTAATATCCTAAAATTAATATAAAGCTTTAATTTCCCTCCCTTCTTTAAAATAAAAATAATCCGAATACCCGTTAGGCTAATAGAAGGGCGAATATACCCCTTCTAAAATACTTCTAATAATCATTCGTATAATACTTCTAATTCCTTAATATTTAATATATAAATTAATCCCTAAAACGCTAATTCCCTTTCAATTAAATTAATATAGTAATCTAATCGATGGTATTAGGGTAAGGGTATAACCAAAGCTTCGGATACTAATTAGAACTCTTCGTACTCTAATGGAATTATCGGTTCAAAAATAATAACTTCGTTCTTTAATTCTTTTAATAATTCTAAAAATTGTAATAGTACTAATTCTATAGGGGTTACTAAAGTAGAATAAATACTATTAAATACTATTCGAAAAACCTTTACTAAAGGGGTAGAGGCTTAAAAAATTTCGGCTAACTCCAATATAATAAATAGGATTATAAACTCTACTACTAAGGAAGGGGGAATTTCGAATAGAGTATTTATATACGTAGGAAGGCAAAAGCCCTCTTTTATCCTTACTATTTCCTAAAGGTCCAATAACGGGATTAAATCCTACTATAGCTTTACTAAAATAATTACAATATCATATACCTCCTTCGCTAGTATTATATTCAATTTAAAATCGCCGGCTTTAATATAGAACCGAAACGACCGCTATTGCTAATCAATATTAGAATTCTATTTACAAAATTAAGAATACCCGAGAATAACTTTTATAATTGAGAATTTAATAATAATAAATATAATTCGCTTTATCCGCTAAGTACTATAAGAATTATATATTTTAATAAAATGAACAACCGAATTGTATTTTCAAATAGACCGAAGAGAGAAATGGATAAAGTAATAAAATATAAAATTAATTTTCGTATTCGATAGGAGTAAATACTTACTAATTAAGTTCAACTCCGCGCCCGAATTTATTAACCTTCGCGTACTCTACAAATTTCCATAAATCCTTATTAATAACCTCGTTTCTGAATATAACTATAATTTATCCGTATCATTTTAAATAGATATAATTACCGACCTAATTATAACTAGCGTAGTATTTATACTATATAAGGAGGCGCCCGTTGTGAGAGCGCACACAATCACGAGAGTAAGCCAGCTCAAGGAGGTTGTGGTGCAATTCAATATAATATTAAAGTTAAAGAGTAAAAAGGGAAGAAGTGTAAAGGTGGGCTGGCTATACGAGGTTTTGTAGTGTGTGCGCTAAGTTCCGTTAGGTTGTAGTGAAGCGTGCTGGGAAGGCGCGCAATTATGTAACTCCTAGCACCTCCTGGATGGTTATAGCTTTGGGCTATAATATTACCCCCCCCCCCCCCCCCCCCCCCCCTTCTAATTAAAATTCAGCCCTAGAGCCGAAGGTAATTAAAAATATATAAAAATATAAAAAAAAAATCAAAATTTTTAACGCAAACCTATTTTAAACCTACGACGCTTCGTTTTCTAAATACGTCTATCTTTAGAGTAGGGACAATAGTTCTAATTGCATTATCTAGCCAATTTTGCGATCGCCGCCAGTTTATTAATAGTATAGCTTATCCTTTTATTTATAAGCGTCCTCTCCCGTTTCCTCCCTTTCCTAAAGCAAAATTTTATTGTACCCGTTAAATCCGTCTCCTCCTTATTATCCTTCTTATTTAAATTAGTATATTATTATTCTAATAGTTATTGTAAGCGCCTTATGACTATTACTATAAACGTTTTAGTAGGTTAGGCTTTTTTAGGTACTCTTTATAGAATTGCTTCAATTCCTCCGCTATATTCTTAAAGCCTTCTACTAGGTACTATTCGGGGTCCGGATCTTAGTTTCTCTATTCTACTTAATATTATAGTTTGCCGTTTACTATTTTCGACGATAAAACCTA